TTAAATTTATGGACAAGAAAGAAAAAATTGTCTCTGTTGAAAAGGCACGTGAATTTTTGCATCAACATAGTCGTCCAGCAGGAGAAGTAGAAGTGGAGGAAGAGGACAGCAACAAAGATAGTGAAGAAGAGGGAGCAGTGGCACCTTCAGAGGAGGACTCAGACTCTAAATTGGGGGCAGTAGGCCCGAAGACAAGCTATCAATTGAGAAAGAAAAAGTATAAAAAATTAGATGTTATTGCACTCTGAAATCTCTTTCAATATATTGTTATAATTATTTCTTATTTTGCTTTTTAAGAAGTCAGAAACGATGGTGTTTAAATTTTTATCTTAGTTTAAATTGATTACTAGATGACCACATTCAATGGACCTGAATCGAATATGGAGTTAAAAGCTAACTTGTTAAGCAGTATGTATGACCACCATCTCTTGGGGTTTTAGTGGGTTTTCTTTTCTTTCTCCTATAGTTTGTAGATCCCCTTTCTAATTTTGTTGTAGTTTATAGAAAAACCCCCAACACGGCTACCCAACATGATTTATGGCAATATTTTTAGTGTACATACATCCTAGACTGAAAACAGATATTGGATTTTAGCTTGTAACAAAGTACAATAGTAAATAGATGGATTAATTTTTTAAAAAAGAAATAAGGTGAGTGGTCCTAAATGCTGGCTCCAAAAGAGAAGGCTCTATATCTAGCAACTTCTTCAAATTACGTAGTGCTCACTCTACAGTTCAATTGCATATGGAAACCTGGTATGTTCAGCCAGTTTCAAAAAAGTATTTTGGCATCACAAATGCTGTGTAAACAGCATTAGAACTCTCCACATAGATGAACGAGTTCTAAAAGAATTATCACCAGCCATTTCAATGTTTATATCACTCAGCGGCTGACCTGAACACTTCTTACTACATAAAATTAAGAAGCTGCATCCAACAATTAGTTAAGCAGACCAGTCTCCTGTTGACCAGTAACTACAGAAAAATAACAGACCACAGTAACTAGAAGCAATTGCTAGATTCTAGAGTCTATCACTCCAGTGGAAACTGGGAAACTGTGAGTGTTAGGATTAGATAAATCTAGACTGATTCAAATGGCTTTCAGCAACTCACTACCTCTCAGCCTACAGGGCTGAATAAAGGCTGTAATGCTGATCTGAGGTCTTTGGCACAGAGGAGGGATGAAATGTAGCTGGCAGACATGTTTCATCCGCAGTTCAAAACACAACTGCTAAGAGATTCAGTTAGCAAAAGCTCTCAAGGCTGGTTTGCACAGTAGGGTTGTTATATCCCCACCATACCCTGCCAAAGCGAGAATGGCAAGTCCCCAACTTTCTAAAGTCAGTTTTTGGTGGCACAGAGGTCTGCAGATTGGGTGGCAGTGGGGAGGATTTGGGGTGACAACCATTCATGAACAGATAATTTGTATTTATAGCATACAGACTTTGGATCCAAACCAGGAACTGCTATGACTTTTAAAAAATTCTAAGCATTTTCTAGAGAAACACCTGCTGTATGGGACTGGTGACAATAAATATGATTCTCATGTCATATTTGGTAGTGTGACAAATTGCTGCAATGTTACTTTAAATATCAATGGCAAGTTAATAGTAAATCAAGTAATAGTAAATATGTAGATTACTTTTCTGTAGATTTCAGGCCTAGGGTATAGACTTACTATAAGTGTTGCTTTTCAACCATTTTTAAATTATGATTCCAATGTATCAGAATATTATTAAACTTTTAAAAGAGATGTAAACTGGCAACTGGAAAAATACACTCCAAGGAATCCAAGGAGACAGGAGCAAACCCAAGAAACTCTAGGAATAAATAAAAAAATCAAATGGAATCGGGGGGTAAAGAAAGAAAAGAATGTAAATGCACTCTAGGACACAGAGAGAAAAAGGGGAACAACAGAAAGAAAATTAAAGCAACACCACATTAAAACCATAGTAAAAATGATTTTGTGGTTAACACAGCAAGGTGATAGAAGTTGAGTGCCTAAGTATTAGAATTAGAAGATCCATACACACATAGAGGAATTGTTGCCGATAGCCAGCATCTATGTATAAGGTTTTGTCCCAGCAATCAGAACAGAACAAATGTTTTCTGCTCCATTCATTCTGCTCCATACATTTAGTAGTTTGTGAATGCACAACTTTCCCCATAAAAGCATTCAATTCCACACCAGATTGCTGACAAACATGAACCTCTTTTGAGGGCAGCAGAGAGAAAAAGTTAATATCCACCACTATAATCTTCCTACAAGGGAAATATTCCACACATTTTCCCATAATGTTGAATAAAACTTGTAGCTAGTTACATTTAATGCAGAAGAAAATATTTTCATCTTTATCTTATGTTGATGTTCCACTTTTTGAATCATCATTTTATAGTACATATGCTGCAATTGTTCTTAGACATTTGTATAAGCAATAGTAACTTATTAAACTCATGAACAACTTTTACATTATGCATGACATGCAAGAACTTATTTTGAACCCCCACATTAAAAATTTATTATACCAGAACTGTCATCTTAATATGGCCATTTCAATGGGGTTGAGCTGCTGCGGGGAAAAAGGGGGGGGGATTCTATGACGCCTTTTATTTTCATATCACTATGCATCTGAAGGGAAAACTCAGGGCAAATATCCAAGTCCTAGAGACTTACCTTAACATGATAATGAGCGTCAAGTAATATGTTTGCAGGCTTGAGGTCCAGATGTAGCAAGGGTGGGGACATACAGTGAAGAAAGTTCATGCCCACAGCTGTCTCGTGGATAATTCGGAAGCGCAGTTTCCAAGGCAGTGGCTCTGAGGCCAGGAGCTTTTCAAGTGACCCCGTCTCCATATATTCCATGACCAAGCCCACTGGCTCCTTACAGATGCCATAAACTGGAAGGATGTAGCGAAACTTTGCCATTTCCATTTTCTTGGCTTCTTCCAACAGTTCCATACGTTCTCTAGATAAAAAGTGCAGAAAAGGGACTGATTTAGCTCACATCTATTAATGGTGTTCCACCCATTTCTTGGTGCTGACATTTTACATGTGATTTAACGAGAAATGCAATGTATAAATTCCACATAGTCACTCCCACTGTATCATTATTAAGAGTTACTGAATAGAAGACTAATTATTGACTTAGGAACAATATTGATTGCCCCCTCTCTCCCAACACTAGAAAAGGAGAAAGCGATTTCTCATTATAGAAATATTCCTTTTCTTCTACAAATTGTCTGGTGCACGCAGAAGATTTGGGGGGGGGGGTTTAGTGGCAATGGCAAGTCATGGTTGTTTAGTAAACCAATGTGGCTACATTGATCATCATGAAATGGGTAAATTCTACCTGACATTATTGGGGAGGAGGCATGAGCACTGTTGGCAACAGACCCATATTTAGTATACCACCAGTCAGTTAAAACCTGCAGTAGTACTCACTTACAAGCAACATGGTACCTTAATCAGTCAGTTCATTTGAGAGTGGCAACAGACAGGAGAGTTATGGAAGTCAAGAGCACTTACTCTCTACCATGAACAGGACCCACTCTGTTCATGTAGATGAAGTTTAATTTCTTATAAAATGCATGCCATTTTGCAATCCACATTATCAAGTCAAAACCATTCATTAAAAGAGTACATGGACTTCACATAAGGCACAATAAGAAAACCTCTGAAATATTATTTTACAGTCTAATTTCATATAAATAATTTATGTGGAACTAGAACAAGCATAGCTATTTTGGCTTATAAATAAGTAGCCTCCCCTCAAGACCGCACAAAGACATATTCAGGGTGCGGTCAGACGACGTGCTAAGAGCGGGTTAAACTGCTCTGGTTCTAACTGGATTATATTTGATCTGGATAATCGTGATCACATTTTACCTCCCTTATCCCGCCTCACAGCACAGTCACATTGCTCCCTGGCGTCTATACTACTGACACACAGGAGTGTGCGTCAGCAGGGTTTTTTTTTAACTTTTTCTCAGTTTGCGCATGCGCATATGCACCCCTCCATAGAATGGGGGGAACTATCATGGTGCATGCGCAGAACCACCAGCGCGAATCAATCCAACCCCTCCAACAAAAGACTTCCCTTTAAATGTTTCACCCGAAAATGGCCTCTGTGAGATCCCGAACTCATCTAAATGCTAAAACAAGTGACCGTTTAAATGTGGGCTTTCTAAACATGGTGGCGGAGCTCCGCCTATGCACACACCGCCAACGCATTAAAAAATGGCAGGCGAAAAGCGGAAGCAGGGGGGGGGTTTAAACCAGAAGTGGCTTGACACCGGAGGAGCGATCACACGGGGGGGGGGGGGGGGGGGGTTTTAATCACTTTGGGACCTGGTAACAAAATACTCTGGGTTAAAGTGGTTTTGAGCCGGAAACCAACAGCTGTGGATGGGAGGCAGATGTTGACTGTGTGATCGTGCAGACAAAATCTGTTGCTGAAGCGTGACAACAGATCAAACAGCACATCTGAACACACCCTCAGTATCATAAAACTCTTTCATTACAGTGCAACCTCTTGTAACAAACATGAAATACATAACCTGGACCCTGGTCACACAAGTGGGATTAATCTGCAGGGGACGGGAGGCTTTTAGAGCCGGAGCAAAGAAATGCATGGTAGCGTGATCTCACCTTCCCCCGAGGCTACGTGCCCAAGCTTCCAGCAGCCCATCACACCATGCGAGGCAACACAGCAGCAAGGTGTTTGTGCGCATGCGTGGGACGCCGACAGGCGCTGGCTGTGACGGCCTACCAGTGCTTCCTGATCAAACGCCCGCACACGCCGTGCATTATCAGGAAAATAGTACATGGTTCCTGGTAGCTTTGAAATCCGCATCTTCGGGTCGAAGCTGCAGGTTAGAGATGGGAGTGCGACGATTCAGAGATTGCGCTGCTTTAATCCGCAGGCAAGCCGTCCCTCTCGCAGGGCAAATTCTCCGTGTGACCAGGGGCCTAGTGTTGAATTTTATTTGTGCTATGGTGAAAAAAATGAGGAGGTGGACATAAAGTGAACTATTTACTAGATTCATTTTTTAAAAAAATTGATCACCTATCCTCATGACTGGGAGGGACAGGGACAAGAACAAACCAGGCCTCTGTGCACCCTCCTAGATTGCCTGACTACAGCATGAAGTGGTCCTCTCTTAAACCCCTTCTGGTGCCTGCTTGATGATCCCATTGCTCACAGGTTTACTGATGTGAATTACACTTAAATTGGTAGACTTAGCTTGTACATACATCTAGCAAGAACAGAGATTAAGTGGCTGAATTCAACTCTCTTGAAGTCCAAAACAAACTCACTTCCATACGCAACTTGCATGCACAGAACACCCAGAAAAGCCCTGGTAGTGCTGGTTTTCCAGGGTTATTTGCTAATGTTCAAGACAAATTACAGCATATAGATTAGAATTTGATATAGAAAAATATTCTATTTACTTTAAGCAAGCTAAGGACTTCAGTATGCTGGTGAGCAAGTCATGAACAAACAGCCTGTATGGGGGTCTGGCTGTAGGCTTGGGTTGCCAACCTCCAAGTGGTGGCTGGAGATCTCCTGCTATTATAACTGATCTCCAGGCACGATCAGTTCACCTGCAGAAAATGGCCGCTCTGGAAGGTGGACTCTATGGCATTATGCCCCAAACCCCATCCCCCTCATCCTCCCCCCCCAAAAAAATTTCCAGGTTTTCCTAACCCGGAACTGCAGGCTTCAAAGAATTTTTAAAAGATCCACTCAGCACACACTAATGAAGTCATGAGATGCTGTTCTCCAAGAAGATCAGATGGCATTAAGCCATCTGAACAGGTATACTAGTCAAGAAACATCCAGCATTTGCACATCAATTTAGTACTCAATTAACAAGAGAACAGGTGTTAAGTAGTTACAGCTCAAATGGTTTATTATTATTGTCCTAGGAAAGGGTCTCAAGAAGTATGAAAGTATGATAAATAAAAATTTAACATTCAAATTACAAACACAGGATTGAGTCCAAAGTACTACCAGCGGGGCTCTACAATCTGAAAGGAACTCCCACCAAAACAGATTTAGCTCCTGAAAACACTGCTCCTAGAGGGCAGAGGCATTGAGGAAAATGCAAAGGAGGGCTAAGTGAGAGGGATAAACAGCCAAAATCCCCCTCCCATTTTCAGAAGTAGCTTACCATTGGCAGGTGAGGATACAATGACATTTGAATCAAACCTGCAGTCCATTAACTGACAAGCCCACATTTAGAAGCAAGAGTTCTGATTTCTGACAATTAGGGCTGATGAATCACCCTAAGGAAGAGCAAATTAAAGAGCCAAGTCTCCATAAGACCTGGAGTCCATCTGTGAAGTTCTGCTTAAACAACAGTCGTTCTTCAGTTTTGGTATGGTAAGAGATGAGGGACATGGCTATATGGTAGAGCAACTGCTTTGCATGCAGAAGGTCTCAAGTTCAGTACCTGGCATCTCCAGTGACAAGGACCAGGTGACGAGAAAGACCCTGAGAGAGTCTGGAGGGACCTAAGACCCTGGAGAGATTCTGCCAGTCTGAGTAGACAGTACCGACCTTGGGAGACATGTATAAAGCAGCTTCATGTATGGTCAGATAAAGAGGGCTTTTTCTAGCTTCCACAAATATTGCTATTGTGCCCTAGAGATGGGTAATTACATTTGAAGAAAAATACCAAGGTTCTTGCTCAGGGAAGGGAGGGCCAGGGATTGAACAGAACCACCAACTTTTCCCCCTAAGCATGCATAATTCATCAAGCTCCAGCTAGCTTGGGATGCACAAAGGTACGATGTGCCTGAACCGTGAGGTAGAATTAGTGAGAACAGTCAGTCATTATCTTAATACGTAAAAAAGAGGTCGAACCAAAGATCCATTTATTAAAAAAACAAAAAAATCTGTGTCCTGTTAGATGAAAAGACTTGCAGTGATACACTACACCACATCCATATCCAGTTATGGAATAGCCTACATTTTAATGTTGAGCAAGCAATGGAGTTGGAATTCTGAGTCCTATACTTCGTGCTTCACATACTGGCAATATTCACACTGAAAAGATGATGGAACCTAGAAGAAACTAGCTCTGTAAAGCTTGTACACCACGGTGTAGTGGTTAAGAATGGCTAACCTGGAGAACCGGGTTTGATCCCCCACTCCTCCCCATGAAACCTGCTGAGTCACAGTTCTCTCAGAACTCTCTCAGCCCCACCTACCTCACAAGCAGTGTTCCCTCTAAGTTGAGTTAGTGTGAACTAGCTGACAGGGTTTTTTTATCTTGTTTTAGACCTTTACTGCCACATAAATGGCTTTAAACAGTCAATCCCACACTCTAACAATTCATTTTGGGGACAGATTTATTTATTTTTTTGTCTCAGCCAATGCAAGAACACTATGCCTTCTGTACAAAACCATTCAGAAGAGATCTATGGTAGCTCCAGAAAGATCTGTTCAGTAACCCAAAGTAACACCACAACCTACTTCTGCATCTGTACCCTCTTACAAGCAGCTGGATTGTTCTCTTTGTACCATTTAAGTGGCCCTTGTCTCCCTGAAATTTATCTGAAGAAGTGTCCATGTACAGGAAAGTTGATACCCAGTTTGGTGTTTAAGGTGCCGCTGGATTCAAATTTTGTTCTGTTGCAAGTTCAGACCAACATGGCTACCCACCAGAATCTATCCCTAAATGTGTGTGTATCTCCTTTTACTGTAATGCCCAAAGGACTGTACTCTGTGGATTACAATTATAAAAACTGGCTTGGCAAGCAGTACTACTTTAAAAGTGTATGTTTCTAGCATCTACATCCTGAGAGAAGCCAGTCAAATGCTTCATTAGTGTTTCAAAAGGGAAGATAAAGATCCAGCAGAAGTTAGTAAAAAATAATTTGCATACTCATTCTGTGAACTAGCTACAGGAGGAGGAGATCAGTCCATTCCCAGCTGGAAGGCTCAACCGTACCTTTCCA